CAGGAGGTAGAGTGCAACCCCTAGACACCTGTTGGTGTGACCTTCTGGTGAGCAGGTTCTTGCAGTGGTATCCACAACATCAGAGTGGTGTACACAACACCACAGTGGTGTCCACAACACCAACATAGTCCTGTTTATGACATCAATTGATGATGTCTAAAGATGATATTTGCCACGTACACAACTAACACACTCACACTTCTCTTTCTGATATAGATCTATATAGATATTTATATGCATCTATATATAAATGCTAGTATACATACGTATAACTCATAGACTAATATGTCTATTTCTTATATATATATATATATATATATATATATATATATATATATATATATATACATTATATATATATAGACAACTATATATGTATAATATAAATATAGGTTTCCCTAAGTAAATATAGACGCATACACCCCCAACACACACACATACATACACACACACACACACACACATATATATATATATATATATATATATATATATATATATATATATATATATATATAATGTGTGTGTGTGTATGTGTGTGTGGTTATGTGTCTGTGGAGAGGAGGGGAGGCTAGTGTTGGTGCACAACACCATTATGTGCTTTAGTTCATATCGTTAGAACCACTGTTTGAGAAAATGTGAACTTTCACTGATGACCTTAAGAAAGCCACGAATTATAATTAAAGAAACAAATATATAGATAAACGTGTTTATTGTGCGTTCAATATCTCTTTACTCAAGAACTAGCATACCTTGTTACCTTTTTTTTAAACACACCTCATCAAGGTACCTTGGTGTTAATGATTATTTGAATTTTACCTCCCTAACGACCTAAATCAATTAAGGAGTCTTCACAATTGATAATAAAACATACATTTTTTTTCTCGTTTTTAACCTTAAAATTTCGAAACATTTTTTTTTAGAGATTGATTAAACTAGGAGAGGTAACCAACATCAACAAGCACTATTAGAACGAGGTGTATTTTACAGATGGGGGGGGGATAGTGTTTGGGGGTGGGGTGTTGTGTGTGGGGGTGGAGATATAGTAAAGGGAAGCAACTGCAACGTGAGCGAAAAGATACCATCACCCAGGGTCCCAGGCCAGGCCAGAGCACGAATAGATCATTATTTTAAAGTAATTTAACAAGATTAACAGGGCAGAAACCACGTCATTTCAGGCAAGGGCAGATAACTAGACATCCGAGGAAACGCAGAGTTATCTGCAGAGAACAATATTTAGTATTGCCTTGACAAGCGTGGAGTATTTGTTTCCCGGAGTTCTTTTCGGTTGTTTTTTTTTGTTCTTTACTCCTGGTGATATCAAGTTTTTATTGTGGGTTTTCTTTTTATAACCTCCCTTGTTTGATACCTATATCTGTTTCTTTCCTCTTTCGTCCATTCTTTTTAATGAAGCAGTTGTTCGAATCCGTTTTTTCGTTTTAATATATATATATATATTTATATATATATATATATATATACATATATATATATATATATATATATATATATATATATATATATATATATATATATATATATATATATATATATATATATATATATATATATATATATATATATATATATATATATATATATATATATATATATATATATATATAGTTACATGATTTATTGTGTTTCCAAGATTTTTAATTAATTTAAATTATAATGTTGGTTTATTTAAAGCCTTCTGTTATATACTTTATCTATTATCTCCCATTTAAAAGATTAAACATATGATATGTGGAAATTTGCCTATTCACCATATTATTTTATAAAATTTCTACTTTTTATTATTACTTTTAAATTCGGTTTTCAATGAAAGTAAGGGTGGGGCGGGCTCATGCAAAGATTTCTTTCTCCCGGCAATCTTATCCGCGAAGCTAAGAAGCCTGGAGGTCACAGGGTGAATATGAAACAGGGGAAAGTATACAAGTCTAAGAAAGAAGCATTGTCCAAGTAGGGGTGGGGGGAGGGGTGATATTTAAATGAAAATCCTTGAATTCATTAAAATAAAAGATTTGTATAGTAATGAGCATTGTATCATATGGGTGTGGCGTCGTATGTGCTTTCTTGTTTTTTAACAAGAGGAGTATTGTAAGCAGAGGCTAGGGAGTTTGGGATAATTGTGGGGTTTTCTTCAAGTTGGGAATGGGAATTTCCATTCAACTAAATTAGACGCTTTGTTTTTATTACGTTTCTTTTTTATTTTAAATATACAAAATTCTAAAGTATATTTTAAACTACAAATTGAAACAAATTTTTAAAAATAGTTAAGTGAAAACGTATTTAGTGTAGTTGGTAAAGAAATAGTCCTAATCTTTTCAAATGTTAGTTTTGAGTATAGTGTGGGTGAAAGGGGGTGGGATGGTTATCTTAATTATTACAATTATACTACAGCTTTACTAATGAAAATTATTAAATTTATAAATGTACCTAAATTAATTCTTCACGCTAATTAGAACGAAAATTTTAATATTTAAAAACGTACTGCAAACTTCTGCATCAACGTCATTACACCAAAGTGTAGCTATAATTAAAACAGGGCACATAACCGAGTTCATGAGGTGGGCTAAATCAGGGGCAACGACTCTCTAGATATCAAACATTTTTATAACTCCTGACGTCATCAACGCGTCCTGCGCTATCTCTGGTTTGTTTTATATCATTTCTTAATTAAATATTTCGCGTCTGGTTGTTTGTGCGGTGGTAGGGGAAGGAAGTAGAAATAAAGCGCTTAGTTGCAAACTTAAAGGTACATCCTTATGTCTAATGAGTGTATGAGTTGCGTATTAACCCAATGTCTATATGTCTATATTTCGCCCTCAGTCCATATAACAATTACATGTCAGCAACATCTTCCACAGTCCATAATACCGTTGCCCAATTACACGTCCCAAAAGTCATCCATAGTCCATTTACCCATTGCCCAATTACACTCAACAAATTTCTTCCGCAGCCCACATACCAACACCAAATTACAACGGAATTTGAATACACGGCATATACCAACCCATCTTTAAATTCATTCTCAGCCATTTCCAAATTACACATCCCACAAATCACCCACAGCCTATATACCCATTGCCCAATTACACGTCCCAAAAGTCATCCATAGTCCATATACCTATTGGCCAATTACACTCAACAAATTTCTTCCGCAGCCCATACACCCATTACCTAATAGTCCATATACCCATTACCCAACTACACATCCCAAAAATCACCCACAGCCCCTATACATATTGACCAATTACATATCCCAAAAATCACCCACAACCCCTATACATATTGCACAATTACACATCCCAAAAACCATCAATATACCCATTGCCCAATTAAACATCTCATATACCCATTGCCCAATTAAACATCTCATATACCCATTGCCCAATTAAACATCTCATATACCCATTGCCCAATTAAACATCTCATATACCCATTGCCCAATTAAACATCTCATATACCCATTGCCCAATTAAACATCTCATATACCCATTGCCCAATTACACATCTCATATACCCATTGCCCAATTAAACATCTCATATACCCATTGCCCAATTAAACATCTCATATACCCATTGCCCAATTAAACATCTCATATACCCATTGCCCAATTACATATCCCAAACGTCACCCACAGCCCATATACCCATTGCCCAATTACACATCCCAAAACTCACCCATAGCCCCTATACCCACTTCCATTTCGGGTACTCACCTCCAAACATTTCACCCCATCTCCCTACGTGCTCACACACACAACCACCCTTCGGCACGTGTTTAGAACTCACCATATCCGACAGCGCGGTCATTGTCTCCTGGAGCACGCTCTCGTACCCTGCATCCATCCCTTTCAACAAGAAAGATAAACCCTAAAGAACAGAAAGTAAAAAAAACACAAACCGCAGATTATCTTTCCCTTATAAATTTTTCTCTTCGTTAATTTTTTTTTAAACTTGACCTTTGAAGTTTGACCTTACGATAGCGGAAGTATGCGGGGGATTAAATGTTGTATAAGTTTAACTTTAAGACAAAAGACAATGAGGCAAAAAACGTTGTATGTTTACATTTAGCGCCAACTTAGTTTTGAGTGAGTTCTACCAGATATAGTGGGGTTGGTCAATGAAAGTTTATGAATGAGGCGTGGAGAGTAGGAACTCCGTCAACAGGGGCATGTACACTTTTAAAAGTGTGCGTGAGTTGAGTATGTGCGCACGTGCAGAAGAGATAGAAACCTTAATCTACAAACTCCGCTAATTAAAATAATTAGAAGTGGTTCGTGATGAAAAACGAAAGGAGTTTAATTTTCTTCTAATTAATTATCGTGCTTTTTTTAAAATTTAGACAAATGTAAGCATTTTTTTAAAATGGCAATTAACGTAAGATTATAAATATAATTAATTATCATAATGTTTGCGTCACTAAGTCTGAATGTATAACTGAAATATTTTATTTATAAAATTTTACAAGTATTGACTTACATACCAGTATGTCAATGAATATGTTGACTAGTCCATTTCCTTATTATAACTATAATATGTCTAAATACATATAAATAAGCAATATTATTTGAATTATTCAACATATGTTAAATGTACTTAACAAAAAGTTCATTAAAATTCTAATCTGTAAATATACTGGTTGAAATGGTTGATGAAAAAATATGTTTATAATCATTTCTTTATCTTTCGTGCCATCAGGCTATGCCCGAAATAGAAGCAACAAATGTATTTTGATACATTACATCAATATCGTTGATACCGGTACCCAATCCTAACCTAATCGAAGTCATTCAAATTTTTTTATCTGGCACTTAACAATCAAAATAATCTAATCCAAATTTTAAAATCTCAACCTCTCACTAAACCTTAACCCAACCCTGACTTCATTGCACCTAACCTAAGAAGATAAACCCCTTTTCATTTTATTTTATTTTTTAAAATTTTGAACTTTTCACACAAATAATACATGTTTTTTTTCCATTACTCAGGACTATGTCTTCGAAGCGGAAGAACACGCCGACCAAGCTTCCTAAAGAAGAACTGGTAAAATCACAATCGACTCTGGAAGCCAACGGAGCGACAACCTCGGATCATTCTGACCCCGAAGACGAACCCGAGCTGATCTCGAACAAAGACCCCATTGAGGAAGAATTCGAGGATAAAGCCGACGAGGACACGGAAATCGACGAGAGCGGGGCGGAGAAAGACGGAGATTTGGAGAGTACAGACGCCCGGAAAAATAATCTCGGGGAAGTGGATTCCGAAAACGAGTCCCGCGTCGACGAATTTCCCATCGTTAGCGTAGGTCGAGCATCGCCCACCAAGCTTACGCCTTCGGGAATTTCCTCAGCGGCCGGATCGACGGGTCTGTTCAACTCGCACAAACGCTCAATGGAAACCGTCCTGAGGCGGTTGAATTCCAAAGCTTCGGACACGTCCTCGGAGGTGGCCTTGACCTCTGGCGTTGACCTTGGTGATCAGCCCAGAGTCATGGAAACGGTACAAGCTGTTTTGGCAGGGGAGGCTACCCTCAGCGAAAAGGAGCGACAGATTAGTGAAATGATCAGCCATTTGCAGAACATTCGCGAAAACCTCAACAAGCAAAAGGACCAGGTAAGGGATTGTTTACTTCTAATTTTAGAATTAGAGTTCAATTTACTTGTTTACTTCTAATTTTAGAATTAGAGTTCAATTTACGGACTTCAAAAACCATATTTTAGCTGTGCTGAATAACATCTTCTTTTAAGATCTGTTCTGTTTTTAAGGAGGCCTAAATATTTATACAACACATTATCTGTAGCTTGCATAACCACAATCTCATACTATTTTAAAAAGGAATAGGTTTTGGTTTTATTGCCTTGTTGTTTTAGATAGATATAAATATATCTCGTCACTCAGAATTTAAGAATGTAATTTCTTAACTTTTTCTCCGTCTTCTTTAATCAATTCATTATTCTAAAAGATATGGTATAAATCTAAAGTTGCGTGTTTTGAATCTCACTAAAGCTTGTGATGCATATGCATTATCTTTTTCCAAGTCTTTCATGGTTAGTATTTTATAAGTTGCAGGCTTAAGGTCCGAGTCGAGAGTATCGTCAGGCTTAATTTAAGGCATCGATACTATCAAAAATCAAATGAGCATTTACACATGCCCGAGTTTTAAATATCGTAATCTTTACTTTTCCGGATAAGCATAATTTGAACAATTTTAATGTTAATATTTATAACTTTTATAATTACAATATGATTTAATACAATCATTTAGGTTTAAATAAAGTTTTCAAATAGTAATTTTTTTACAAGCTTTTATTTATTTATTTTTTTTTTTGTGACACTAAGTTGAAACATCACAATACGTAAAATGAAACGGTCGAAAAAATAATTGAAAATATATTTCTCTTTTCAAAATTTTAGTACATTTAAAAGCTTATTATTATAACGCTTTTCATACTTGTTTTTATTTTAATTTGACTAATTTACTCACTTAAACAAAAACTGACAACAATGCAAAAAACAACAACAACAACAACCTAAAGCGATCAATGCTAGAAAGCTTTAGTTGCTAACATAAATCTCAAACCGTCCCGTTCTACGTCTATGATGTCACCACGTTGTTTCGCCGTAAACGCTAATCCAATCCCCCACCTCCACCCCCACCCCAACCTCCACCCCGTAGTTACTCCTCCTCTTGAAATCCGCGACCCTCAAAAATTCCTCGCCATTTCAAGCTGCCATCTTTAGCGCTTTGATCTTCATTAACGCGTCTTTCATCTTTTATACGCTCCTACTAGCTGCGTCACAGACTGAGAAGTTATGCCCCCTGGAATGGCATATATAATAATTAAGGTATTACACAGTAATAATCTCCCTTGTCTTAGCTGCCGTGAGAAGATTTATCTCCCCTCTTGTGAAGGCCGGTGTAGAAGTTATAAAATATACAACAGGGTTCCACTTCACTGAAACGAAATAATGAAATTAAAAAGAAAATGGGTTGCTTTTTTAATTGCAGTAATAAATTGTTGCTTGTTTGTTTGTTATTGTTTTGTTTCTGAATGTTTAAAATATGTACTGTTCATGCTTTATTTTAGATGAAGCTTATATTTTAGATCATGGTTTTGAAGGTGGTGGTTGTTTTTTTGTTTTTTTTTTTTTTTTTTTTTTTTGTGGAAATGTATCTAGAACGGTACTCCTAAAGTGCGATAGGTACTCTTTAGAGCTGAGTAACCTCACGAATGTCGTAAATCAACTCTGCTAGGTGAAACCTTCATACATTGACCTAATTCCATAAAGACCTACTGTATCAGAGTCTGTTGATTTCGATGCTTGACTTCATTGAAATAAACAATGTATTTGCAAGACTCAATGTTAAAGTAACATTATGCGTTTTGAGACACCTCTAAAGAGTAATTGGTGTCCTTTTCGTTGGGTACCGGAACTGATTACTGAGAAAAGAGTGAAGACAATATAAACCTACTTACACTATTTGTTTTAATTTAGACTACTTTTTAGTAAAAAAAATGTAATTCTAATGAACATACAGTACGCTGTCCGATAAAGGAAAAGATGATAGACATACTTTACTGCCGCATCAAAATATTACATATATAGACCTACACATCACATAGTTTAAAAATATAAACGTATATATATATATATATATATATATATATATATATATATATATATATATATATATATATATATATATATATATATATATATAATGCTGGAAAAAAAGTGGACCCCCACCCCCATGAGACAATTATGGCTACGCCACTGTCCCACTCTTATAATACCTTTTTGTCTAAGATGTATTATGTTGATATTTTCGGAACGTCCCCCAACTAACACCAATCTAAAAATAACCCTAAACAAAAAAAAAAAACGGTGGCGAATTTCTTCCATACCGAGGCAGCACGCGAAACAAATGCCAGAGCCGCTGGATGTCAACATGACATCAACAAACACTGAGTTCAGCGGCGGCGAACAGTCGGTATTGTTTACAACGGCGTCGCGCAGGGAGGTGACAACAGATTGGAGGGGGGGTGCACTGCCCGCCGGGGGGGGGTCGATGGGTTACAATGTTACAGGCTGGCGAAGGACGAGACGGCGCGAGAGACAAAAGACAGGGGCGCGAATACCAGTGATGACAAATGAATTGTTTTCTCCCTGGCTGGGATGGGGTGGGTAGATGAAGAGTTAGATGGAGTGGATGGAGTTTTTTTTTTTTGGGGGGGGGGGGGGGGGGGGAGGAGAAAACGAAATGATTTATGTTTAGGAAAGGTTAGCTTTTGTTGCAAGAAAAAAAAAAAATTAAAACATTTACAATAAATAAAGGTGACAAAAATCTTTCATGCTTTTGTTGTTGCGCTTAATCAATGTACTGAGTATAGCTCTACTGTAACAAATACGCATAAAGGCAAATTTACCAAGGAACACTGATATATATATATATATATATATATATATATATATATATATATATATATATATATATATATATATATATATATATATATATATATATATATATATATATATATATATATATATATATATATATATATAACGTATTTGATGTGGTGTGATAAAATTGTAGCTACACGCAATGTACTTTTAATTTAACTCTCCCCCCCCCCCCCCGTCCCTAACAATATTATCCAGTCTACCCCGCCACATCCCCACCCCTAAGCTGTAGTAAAAAAAAATACCTATATGATGCTACGACCGCGAGTGGAACATGTCACTCACTACCTCACCCCACAAACAATGATAAGCCAGCCTTGTGTTCTGGCACGTCCGCGCTTCTTTACGTCGTGATGGTGGTGTTGGTTCCCTTTCTCTTTACGTGTGGACTTCGCGACTGATGGTTCATGTTCATGGTGTCGCTTTACACAGGTTTACTCTGAATTATATACAGGTTTACAGCGAATTATTAGCTGATTTACACCGAATTGTAAGCTGATTTATACTTAATTATGAGCTAGTTTACATTGAATTACAAGCTGGTTTATACCGAATTTTAAGCAGATTAACAATAACTTATTAACTGGTTTACACTGAAGTATAAGAATGCACTAAAATATGTATGTCATAAAAAGAAATGCGAAGTTGGAACGTCATATAAATCGTACTGAAGAAGAACGCCCAATATAATGTGACTATTACTCTAAATTTATTCCCTATCTATTTCTAACTGCAACTTTTTAGCCGGAAGCTGAACTACTCGTATCCGCTATAGAGCTAGCAATCCGTTAGGCAGATGAAGTAGTGTCCATATGTTTCTGTGGCCTAGCATATAAAGGGATAATGCGGTCAGCACTTTTCCCAGCCGCCTTTACTGTCCATAACATAACATAAGTTACGTACCTATCCGAGCTGGATGGAGGTTCTGTTGACTTGAACCCGGATTCGAACTCGAGACTTTCGAGGTTAGCAGTCTAGTCGTAGTTTTGCATTATATATATATATATATATATATATATATATATATATATATATATATATATATATATATATATATATATATATATATATATAGGATATATTATTCGACAGCGTATTCTTAAGCTAAAAGATTATAAACCAAGTTGTGTCGGTGTGTTGAAAAAATACCGGAACAATGTCTTCAACGCCACAAGGTACCTTCAGGAGACGTCTGGAATTCTGAGGCCGCAGAGCTGCAGACGGGCACCCATCGACTTCTGGCACCCCCCTGTCATTGCTGACGGACCGGCCAGACGGTGGCGTTTAGACTTGTGCACAGATCTGCATACATCTACACGGACCAGATTGATGGCCTCGAGAGGGGCCAACGGGCCACCAATGCTCGGGCCATCAGGGCCTTTGGAGCCGAGACGTGAGCCGAGAAATGAAATATCACTTAAGTTTTGCGTCGACTGCGGCTGAAATATTTCCTTTCGGATCCCTTGCATTGACATGTGACCGGGCGAGGCTATTTATAGCCCGGTGGATTGAACTGTTATTCAGTCATTCGTTTAATGTAGTCTAACAATAAAAGAAGTAGGGTTAACTCCATGTTTGTTTACATATATAGAAAAAAAAGTATTATTGGTTTACATTTATGAAAAATAAATCTGTCTTTTTGTGGCCACGATAAATAAAGATCCTAAAATGTTTCGATGGTTGGTCTTCGACAAAGTGAATTGTTTAAAAATAGAAGTTGTGACTAGGTTTATATTTGAATTACGTTATGAAAATATCGCTAACTATAAATTTAAACTTTACAAAAGGAAAACACATTCATCTAAACAAATTATACAATACGTCTATTTTTTATTATGCTGTGCATGTATAAATCATGCATAGTTGATAGAAAGAAATGAATTGTACTACATCTGCACACAATATACGTCTATCACAACTGAGTTGTACTTTTTATTTCTATTTTCACGGATGCTTTTGGGCGAAGCACAAGAAATATAGATTTTTAACATCAAATACGCCTCACTAACATTGCAATTTTTAGTTTTGTTTAGTGGTTTTTTTTTCCTGTCAATTTGCGGTTCCCTTTTATTTCCTAATCGCGCAAGTTTCTCTACCGATGCTAAGGGACAGCTCGCGATCATTTCATCAAATTCTTTCGCATTTTC